CACAACACTACCTTTATCCCACCATCTTTAAACACTTCAAAGACAAAGTTTAGTATAAAATATAAAAAGAAAAAAAATACAAGAAAAGATAATTAGAACTTGAAATTTTTCTAAATATATTGGTGCTTATTTGTGAGTATTAATCTAACTCCAAATCAAAATTAACAAAGATGAAGAAGAAATGCAAGATAAAAAATAAAATTGTTAGCATATATTTAGTTTCAAGAATCTTAACATTTGTCTTTTCTTTTCTTAATTTATGATATTATCATTAATAAAAAGTGAAACTTTTATCTATTTTTAGCTATTTTTAAAAAAGAAATAAAAAAATAAAAACAAAAACACTTTAAAGTTGTTTTTGCTTTTAAGTTTTAAAAATTAGAAATAAAAAATTATTTTTAGAAATTAGGTTAAACAAATTTTATTATTTTTTAATTTTTTAAAAAAATTAGAAAAAAAATAAACAAGCCCTAAATCTTTTTTAATTATCTTAATCAACAATTTGATATATAGTTTTCCTCTCCAATTTAAGAAACTCTGAACGGAGCCAATTTTCTTTCTTCTTATTGTACTAGCAATATCCAAATAATGCAGTAAAAAAAAAAATTCAATTTATTTTATCACTTATTCAATATTCAAATATGTGATGGTTTCATTGATGGAAACAGGTAATGGAATATGGAACATCAATGTAGTGTATTTAAAAGGAGTCAAAAATCTTATCGTAAGTCCGATCCAACCTTGAGGTCTTTATCCATCGAGTTAATTATTTAATCATACACTGCAATACAAACATGAGACATGCATCTTGACTTGGACTCCCATGCCCATTATTTTTATAAAACATTATCCAATCATTATATCATGCAATGCACATTTTGTGGTGTGCATTTCGACACTGCATGGAGCATTAGGTTACGAACTTATAAAAAAATCATTTTTAAAGTGAGTGTAAGGACACAAAATAATAATATATAATTAATAATTTTCATTAAAAATTATAAATATTATATAATCTAATATATCAATACATACTTTTAATCACTTGTTAAAAAATATTTTAAAGAAGAGGATTAATTAATGATATTAAAAACATGCTTTTTCTTTTTACTCAAAAAGGTATAATTTTAAAAAATTAATTGCAAAGTAAATCATTAAAAAAATAAAAAGAATAGATATACTTATAAAATACTTAAAAAACTTCTAACAATTTTGTCAAAGTACAATGAGATAAGTTATGGCACTTTGAACCTAAATTTTAACTGTTTGAACCTAATTCTGGTTGTTTTAGTGAAATATGTGCATAACTCAATTAGTTACCTGAAAACTTAGAAGTTACAATAAAAAAATCTCATAAATGATACTCAATAAAAATGTCACAAGTAAGACATTAAATAAATTTACTTGTCACTTTCTTTTTCAAAATTTTGTTTTCTAGTGCAAAAAGTTTTTTTTCTAAAAAAAATAATATTATTTTTATCTAGTGTGTAAATTTATTTTTCAAAATTATAAACTATAGTTTTAAATTGCCAAAAGTAAGTATAAATTGCTAAAATTTAAATTTAAACTACCTAATTTTTTTAAAGTCTTGGTAAAATGAGTTGAAAATTATGAGCTTATAATTTTTTGTTATGAAATTAGATGAAAGCAATTAATTTTGTAGTTAATGACTTACAGTTATATAAGTATTTTATAAAATTAAAATTTCTTGACAAATTAGTTGTGCAACTAACTGATATATGTTAAATGATTTAAAAATTTATATAATATTAAAATTAGATTTCATTTATATGAATTAATCAATTAATAGAAAAATAAAAATTCTCTTCATATATATTTGAATATTAAATATTTTAAGTTATATATTTTTAATATAAAATATATTTAGATAAAAGAGACAAGAAAATAGATGAAGAAAAAAAAAAACTATCGTGAAAGTAAAGAGAAAAAATATTAGTGTATGTACTTAAAGTTTTAATTGTATGATAGATTAAATACAGGATAAACAATTAATAAAAAATCGATAGTTAATTTTTAAAAGTTAGATTTTAAAAAGTTACAAATTAATTTTTATTTTTATTTAGCAAGTAATTTTATTAATTTATTTACTTACAAACTCTTAAATAAAGTCATAAGATATATTTATCAAACATAATATAAAATTGTGATGTTATACAATATTTTCTTTGTGTGATATCCTCTTAATTTGAGTCTTACACCAGTGTATGACACATATCATATATGCATGGATAGTGCTTTATATGTTTTGCAAATAATTTTCGGTTGCTTTTGCTTATTTTATAAATTTAATTTATATTATTTTTGAAAATTATTTTAAAATTATACTAGGTCAAAGAGCCTCAACAACACGAGGACGTGAAATGACCATCAAGCTTAAATATACTATGGTTTAACCATTGAGCTGGTTGACTTCAATTAAATTATGAAGAGGACAATGTTAGACCAATTCTAAGCTCGACTTGGGCGGCCAGAAAATATATGTTTACTTGTTTAGTTACCACCTGCCTTCTCAAAAAGGCGGCATCAAAGATGTATAAATTACGTTTATCTAAATTTTTATTGCACTAAATAAATAATAATAATGTTTAAAATATTAATAAAACAATGGCATTAAAAAATATGTATGTATTTAAAAATGATTTTTTAATATATAGTAAAATTAAAAGAAATAATTATATTTGAAATATTAAATAAATTACTTTTGCAAGTGTAAATATACATTTTATAGCGTTACATTTAGAAAAGAAATTGTATTGATAAAAAAGTAAAATTTGTCAATTTAAATTATTGGTTGTTTTAAAGTGAAAATCACGTTATTTATGGTTAATCTAGTTTAAAAATTTAAACGTAAAAATACTATGTTAATTATTTTAATAAAAATATTTTGACTAATATTATAGCAGGAAAGTTGAGCTGTTCAGTTCAAAAACATGAGATTATTTTCAGCATAAATTAGAAAAAAAAATTAAGAATAGTTTAACAAAGCTACAAGGAAAAGTCAATCTTTTCTTTTATTATTACATGAAAAGTTTGAAAATAAAATGAAAATTAAATTTTATAAACAAACCGACACCTCAATTATCCTTTCCACTTCTACTCCAAAATTAAGAGTACATTTGTCACCTTTTGAAAGATTGCATCTTGTAAAACTTCTTCGAACTACTTTAAAAATTTTCACACCACTCTTGGGAAAGAATGTAGTGAGTGACTTCATATCTAAGACATAAGACATGTTAATCAATTTTAGGAGGTAAATTCTACAAAAGGAAAAGTAAACATACAATTTTTTAGTAATATTTTCACAAACTAATATTATATGGGTATGTTTGGATAAGTTACTTAATTAAATATTTATTTAATAAAAATTTTATACATAAAGACTTATATTTAATCATCAAAATTATTAAAATAACTTAAAAAATTAATGTACACATGGGACACGCAAATTAAAAAGCGGAAGAAAAAGAAAAACACTAATTAAACATGGTAGCAGTAGCCGTCCCTCTAAATATGCAGCATTCCATCTGCATTCATTGGTTTGGTGTATATCTGTTTAATAATAATTTATTTGATGATTCACCCAACTTGCCCACAAAAATCACGTTGTACTTATCTTATCGTTGTCTTGTAGTAATGAGAGAAACTTTTAAATTAAGCTTTTCTTGTTTTCTTCAAATCTCAGTGTATTGTCACCATTACATTGTTATTCCCTATCATATTCATATATTATATGCAGGTTAAAGAAGCCGGCGAGGACCACTGTCTTGTTGTTGTAAGTAATTCAGAGCCAATGAATTTTCCGGCGGCTTTCTTTCCGCTGCTGTATATCATTTTTAGTTCTCTGTCAATCCTATTCTAAATTAATTAATTTGCCCGATCATTCTAACTGTGAAAAATGAGTTCAATATGGAAAATAAATATGCAAAAATTGATTTTAATAAAATAATTTCAATACTTAGAACTCGCAAGAACCTGCTAAATGACGCTCGGCCAAAACCCAAACTTGTGAAGACTGAAAATAGTAATCCTTCCTCTTTTCTTTATCCTTTTTCAATTCAAAGGATTTTTTTTATTTTCATTTATATATTTTTAAAAATATAAAGTAACATTAATTATATATTTTTTATTTTTATCTAACTTTTAATATTTTGCATAGCTATTATAAATAAAGATAATAATAATATTTTTTAATGTAAAGAATACTATTAATTTTTTTAGTTTTTATGTTATGTTTACAAAAACAATATAAGAAATAAATCTCTAAATTATTCCTTGATATTTATTATATGTATTTTAGATAGTTTAGTCACTAAAATTTCTTAACTTTGTATTAGTCAACAATTTTACTAAACGTAATTTATTTTAATCTTTTAACAAAAATGACAATAAAAATTAAAATATTTAAACTCGTACACTCGCAAAAATTAATTTAAGAGTTCATCAATGAAAAAAGAAACAGAACACTTTAAGTAACATTTAAAAAGAGAGTTAAAGATCTTGAATAGAAATTGAATTTAAAATTAGAGTTTGAGACTTGAATGAGGATTGAACGTGAAAAGAAAAGAAATATATTTAGCGAATTGAGAAAAGAGTTGAACGGGATGTAGGGTCGACTCTAGCATATATTTGAATAGAATACTATAATACTTATATATTTGAACTCAAATTCAAGTAATTTGAGTTAAATAATATTACAATTTTTAAAATTAGAGATAATATTAAACACTTGTAACAAGTGATACAGAGGTATGTAATTTTTTTTATCAGACATAAAAATAATGATAAAAAGAGAAAAAAAAACATATAATCAATAATGTGACATATATGTAAAACGAAAACTCATAATATTATATATATATATATGGTTTTTAATATTTGATGTAAAGTATATTATATAATTATTTTAATATATGGTGGCGCTAGTTTATCAACCTCAATGAATGACCGTAATATTTTTTTTTTTTTTATTTTGACAAGCGGGTTGGAGGATTAATTCGTTTATCTACAGAAAATAAAAATTACTAGTCATTTATAAATAAAAACGATTTCGTTTTCGATTCACTTACAAAATATTTGAGCGACGTCATATAGTCATATAAAACGTAGACTTTTATTATTATTATTAAAAATTGTAACTTTTTAAATGTGAGTTTATATAACTATTTTACTTAATTATACAAGTTTAACAAAATTAATACAGGCCGCACCAACAAAAGCCTTAACGTTAATCTTCTTAATATTTTTTAAATAAATACTAAATAAAAATGATTGCATTTAATATTTTAGAAATGTAAAATGTATTTAATTTTGTCTTAACAAGTTGTTTAGGCTTAGTAAAAGATATTGTAAGTTGTATTTAGAATTAGCATTAGTCACCGCATGGACTAGCATGTAAAATTTAAGTGCTGTTTTATTTAACGGAACCCCTTGAAAGAGGTGTTTCTACAATGAATTTGAGGAAAGAAATTGTCGATTGAAACGGCTAGAACCTAGAGAGTTGATTGTTTATACAATTATACCGTAATCGTAAAAAGATCATGGTCTCCTTCGCTGAGCAAGAAACATCCTAGAGGCTACTTAAGTCTTGGAACATTCTAAATTCCCTATCTTAAAACACGTCAAATTTTAGGTGTGCAACTGGAATCCTCTTTATTTATTTTTAAAGTCACCTGAAGGGGTCATTAGAGTAATCAAACTATGACTTATCAATTTTCGTCGTCAACCAACCGACCCAAGTCCACGACTATTCAAAACGCGCAATCCCACTCGCCACCCACCATCTCTCATCCGCAACGGCAGGATTCAAACATGTTTTTTTTCCCAATAATTACCATTCCGAACACTGTCTTACGCCTTTTATTTTTTTCATTTGTTTTTTTTTTCAGCACATTCTCAATCACCTTAGAATGATTACTTTTATATTTTCTTCTGTAACAACCGTGGTTAGGTCGGGAATCCAACGATTTAGATATGCCCTATCCATGTAATTAATTAAACGGTATTTTACAGTTTGCCTAAACCATAATTTATATATAATTTTTATTATTAAAAATAAAAAAACATCACAAAATTAAATATATTAATAATAGTAAATCTTAAATTTTTAATAAAAAAAAATTTTTTTTAATTTTTTTTATCGTATGCCCCTCAAAAATACCTTAAAAAAAACCTTCAATTAAAACAGACAAAACGCATTCCTTTGTTCTTAAACAAGTGCGGATGAAAAGAAAGAGCGAAAAATGGAATGCGTTTCTGCATCTTTTACTGAATGTACAATTAAAATTAGTACAATCAACTGATCAAGAAAGAATCAATTTATCTCATAAATATTTGATGTAAAATATAAAAGAATCGATCGCGTGTGACCACGATATCATCAATCAAACAATTGAATCAGAGCATTTCTGATCACGCTCTTCTTCCTCAACTACCACATTTTGCTCTCCTTCTTCGCTAGGATCAGATGAAGTAAGTTCCTTGGCTCTTTGGACTTGACCTTCCCAGTTGGTGCGAGCCAACACGAACAACATGGTGACCATACAAGAGCCTTGAGCCGCCAAAAGACCGAGCCACAAGCCTTTGAAATCAAAGCCTGCAAAGAAACTCAACCACACTGCAACCGGCATTCCCACGAGGTAAAAGCAACCCAAGTTTATGTTTGCTCCCAATTTGGGCCTGGCGGTTCCCCTCAAAACTCCGCATACAGTTGTTTGAGGACAATTTCCAAGTTCACACAATCCAATAATAGGCAACACCGTCGACGTCAAAGCAATGATTTGCGCATCACGTGTGAACATAGAAGCCCACACATGTCTCACCGAAACCGCAAAGAACAAGGCAGAGAATCCCAGAATGTAACTGAAACATAGTCCCACTAGCGCCGCAAGTTTTGCCTTTTTAGGATTCCCTGCACCCAGTTCATTTCCCACACGCGTGGAAACGCCGATGCTTAAGGAAGATGGGAAAATATATATCAATGCAGTAGTTTGAATTAGAACACCCATGGAAGCAACGGTTGCATGGGGATTAATCAACAACCCACAGAGTAAAATCATGATTTCATACCACCACCATTCAAGACAAACCGAAACGCAACTTGGAATAGCTAAGTTCAAAAGAGCTTTCCATCCCTTGAAGCAACCATTGAGTGAAAATCCAGGCCATGTTTTTGTATGTATACCAGAAACCCAGATGTAAATAATGAGTGAAACTACAAGGTTGAAATTTGTCCAAACAGCACCTAAAGCGATGCCTTTGATTCCAAGCTTGAGCACAGATACAAGGAAGTAATTGATGGGGACGTGAAGGAGAATAGAAAGAGAAGCAGTGTATGTGAGAGGCAGGGTTACTGATTGGCTACGAAGATAGATTCGAAGAGGGTGTAGAAGCGATTGTGCTACGAGATCGGGAAGAGAAAAAAGTATGAAAGATTGAGCTTCGCTGGCAATATCTTCTTGTTGACCGCAAAGGAGCAATATTTTCTTCATGTTGAGCCACAAGAATGAAATGAAAACTGAAGTTAGGAGAAGCAGAACCACTGTCCTCTGCATCGCGAGGCCCAGAAGTTTGAATCTTTTGGCTCCAAAAGCTTGACCACAGATGGGTTCCATCCCCATGGCAAGACCCGATAGAACGGAGTAGCCTGTGATGTTGGCAAATCCAATTGCAAGAGATCCACCAGCCAGAGCAAGTTCACCTACACGACCAAGGAACAGCATGGAAATGATGGAGCGGGAATAGAGTAATAGGCCAGTTAACACCATGGGTAATGCTATGTTGGCTATGCATTTGGCTTCCTTGAGGGCCAGAGAAAAATTGCTTTTTTGTGGTTTTTGGGGTTCTTGTTCGAATGTTGGGGATTTGGGGATCAAAAGGGTGAACATGTCAGGCTCAGGCTCCCGAATTTTAGCTGTGGGTTCATTTGGATGGCCCTCATTGTTTTCACCCAAAGTAGAGGTTGATGATAATTGGCACATGGCTTGGATAGGATAGCTTTCAATGCATGCAGACAGAGAAGACAGAGAGAGGGGGAGTGCGTGTTTGTGTGTAAATCACAAAATGTTTTGCATATTGCGATAGTGTGGCATGAGGTATTTAAAAGGGAAGGGTTATGCTGAATTAGTTGAAGATTCTTGGACGTATGTGGAATTGTGGAGTGTGAGGGACGGCCACTAATGAAAAATTGAAATGGAAATAGAAATAGAAGGATCAGGTAAGGATCAGGTTGAAAGAGTGTTGGCTCAACTCAAATGCCTCACAATGTTTTTCCAATTTCAAGCGTCCTTTTATGACCAACCATATATCGTTGGTGCCTGCAATCAAAGGTGTTTGAGGTGTAAGCGCACTGGCATTGGACGTAATATATAAAGGGATGAACCCATTCAACCAAATAAAGGTCAAAAGCGTAGTAATAAGAAAACGAGTTAAAATGGGCATTGAATGACTATTTAACTCCTCTACTTAAATTGTGGGCCGTTAAATTTTGTAGCCTTTAATCGCAATTAAATTCATGAACCAGTCGATAGCATGAAGAACGTGTTAGGATTGGTGTATACGAACCAAGAGGCAGAATCGGGTTTAGACGGTTTTTACTTTTCAGGGAGAGAGGACCCACTGTGAAAATGGCAGCTTGACTTACTGTTGTAAGTTGAGTTTCGGATTCTTTATTGTTAAGATTCATGTGAAATCAATGTCATGTCGGCATAATTAAGTTCATGTAACAGGATCAAAATCCATCGTGTCTTAAATTCGAGCAAGATAAATTTGAGAATGAAAAATTCTTAACAGTTGTCCAAACAATGCTTTTGCGAATATTAATTTGATGTTCTTTATTTTCATGCACAAACGAATTTTATAAATATGATAGGGAGGGAGTGAATTTTTTTTCTTCCTAAATACCAAGAAAAACATGAGAGGGCGTAAATTAAGTACGGTTACAACAACTTTATTCACTTTAAATTTGTATTGATTAAAATTTATAAATTTACATATTCAATTTCGAAAAAAGTTAATGACTTACTTATACTTTTAGTATCTTTATTTAGTCTACATGTAATAATATTTTTAAAAAAATTAATTGCTTATAAATTTTATAATTTTTTAACTCATATCCCAATTTTTTTTCTAATATTTAATGAAAATGTATTTAAAAAATGACGTAGCTTCAATTTGTATATATTAGCATGCAATAAATAAAATATTTAAACAAAAATAAAAGTAACATTTTTAAATTTCTTTTAAACGTTGATTCTGGGCATTATTTTTTAATATTTATTTAAATATTTTTTATTAATTTATATAAATTAATTTTATGTTATTTTTATTAATTATTGACCAAAGTTTGAAATTATAGACTTTAAAAATTTAAAAATTAAATGCATACAATTAAAATTAAAAAATTAAATTATAAATAAATAAAAGTATGAAATTAAAATTACATCTGAGGTTTTACATAATCTTGACTATTGAACAAATAAGCATGTTTTATGAAAATATTAGTTAGTTATTTTTCTAAAGAATAATAAAAGTGACAGAACTAGATTATTTGAGCCTACAAAATGAGCCGACAATTTAAATTTACTTGATAGATATAGAATTTGTATATTAAATTTTTAATTCAAATTAACTTCACGTTATTTTATGCCAATTCAATCAAGTGATGTGAGTTACGTCGATTAAAATATACAAAAATAGAACTTTCGCATATTTTTCGTAAACTCAAATTAAATTCAAACATTTTAAATTCAGTCCGCTAAAGTTCTTTATCCGATACGAGCCAACTCAAAACTAAATAGTTGGTTTTGTGAGCACTAAATGTTACTGTATAACATAATTAATAAAACTATTATTGATTCTTACTTTTATATTTAATATTATATACTTTTATTGAACAACAATTAAAAGTAAACTCAAATTGGATAAATTATTTTAAAAATTCATTTACTCAAACTTATTATCTGAACCGTCAAATTTTAGCCAAAAATACAAAAATTTAAAATTTTCCTTCTCCAGTTCTAATTTCATGTTATAAAATTTTTCAAAAGTTATCAAAGTTTCACTAAATTTTTATTTTTAAAAGATTAAAAATGATTTCATAGAACAAATTTAGTCTATTATAAATCCCAAATATTTGAATAAAAATAATAGTTAAAAAGTTTTAAATAGAATAAAATAAATAAAGAAAATAATATTGTTTACTTTCATAAGTTGATAAATTAATTTATCTAAACAAAATTAAGGAAACTAAAATTCCACATAATTCAGACTAAAAGGGCAAAAATGTAACTAAAGTTTATTATTATTGCTGAAAAAGACCGTTCAGCCTCTGTTGCTAAGGACCATTCACTATTGAGGGTGTCGACGTTGGTATGGTGCAAGTGCGGCAAAACCCCCCATAGAATTTGTCCTGACCTTGTTGTCGGCTATGTTTGGGCTCTGTTTTTTAACATTAAAAAAAAAGCGTGCTGGTCAAAGTAATACAGGGACGGTGTCAATGACATGGCCATAGCAACCTTCGTATACGACTCTTCTTTGTCTCCAACGTTGTCTTCCTATTCAACACTACCCCAACCGTGTCATGCGCACGGACACTGCAAAAATTCAAAGCCTCAATATTTTATTGTGTGTAAAGCAAAGCCGAGTACGATAGGAACTTCCAATACTCAGTTTCCTCTTAATAAATTTTTTTGGATATGCATAAAGTAAAGAAACTCATTTGCCCTACATGTATATACACGTGTCTCCTTGTGTATCCAAAGTATATTCTCTTGTGTCTACAGTCAATAGCAATTTCATTTCAAGTACTTTGTTCTGGCCCTCCTTCTGTCTATTCCTCAATCCTTGTTTTCTGGTCAATTCCCTTGTTTTGAATAGTACTCTTCAGTGTTTCTGGTTTCGCCAAAACTGAGGCAAGATTAATATACATGTGCAGTGCAATCACGAAAATTGTACAAGGTGCTGGACCCTAGAGTTAGGTCTCTTAATATGCATTTGATACGTTTTCTTCGAATGGTTAATGCACACACGTAGCCGTAACTTTTGGCTAATGCAGTTAACTAGTCGTTTGTTTAAGGATAAAATAAATTCTTAATTACATCATCGATCGATTTAACTTTTTCATTTAAATTATAAATTTTACCTTTTTCATTTATTTTCTTAAGTTATTTGAAATCAAACTCATTGTTAAAATAATAATTATTATACATTCACAATTTGTTTCTAAATTATTATCATATTATGTTATTTATTATGTTAAATATGAGTTTTTATTCTTAAATGAATATATTTTTAGAAGTTTTTTTAAGTGATATTGATGTTTTTAGGGAATGTTTTCTTCTTTATTATGTTGTGTGACTTTTTTTTATTATTATGAAGCTATTTCTTAGCTCAATCAATCTTAATTGAAATTTTTCATTTTTTAATTTTAAAAATAATTTTATTAAATTTAAAATCAATCATGCAATATCTCTTTAATTTTTATTGTAGTTTGAGGATACCCATGCAATACAGAAAGCATCACTTGTAACTGAATTAATTATTATAAATGGTAAATAACACATTTTCCATTTTTTTTCTTTTTCTAAATTGAATTACTATCTAATATAACTCTCAATTCATTGAACATTTTTTTAACGAAAGAAATATTTTGTTGTTGATATTTTCTAAAAATTTCTGAATTTGTTTCTTAATTTTGATAAGCATTTGTATCTCAAAAATTATTTTATTCAAAAAAACATTTATAAATCTCGTTAAATTAGACACTTTTGAAAATCCTATCTAAAGCTTCCAAAATTATAGACATGATACTACTTGTTCCATTTTTTTATTAGTTTGTAGAAGATAATGGATATATACTTCAGCCCCGAACTTTTGGTTAATGGGCGTTTCAAATCAATTGAGTGAATGAAAATACACTTCTTAAGGGGTACGCTATTTAGTATCAATTGTTATCGCACAGGCTTTTGCAATTTGACCAGTCAAATATTGATAAACACAGTAGTAGCATCGCAACGGTAGTCATGGCTTGAAATGAGCTTATCTAGGACCTAAAAGGTTCCATGATTTATGCTGGTTTCTCTTCCATAAGAATGCACGTTTTGTGGTTGACTGACTCCCACTATCAATATCAGAAAGACTATCTTAGACTAATATATACGCATTTTCTTTTAGGGTCAAGACTCACGTTGTGAGACACAATTAATTAATATAACCCTTAAAGGCCTTCTAATAATAGGAAATTGGAATGATATATACTTATTATGCGCAGCTATTATCTGAGCGTATCTTTAGTTCTTTAGCTTCCAAATCAATTAAGCTGTTAACGAAACTTTTGAGTTATTCCTTAATTTTTATCCAATAAAACACTGCAGCCACCGCCATTTGTGAAGCATCACTATATAAGGAATCTATTTCTTTTTTGACTTCGAACTATAGAGCTTTCAGGGTGACACTGTATGTGGCGGTGGACCATTACATGGTTTATCGGCAGCTTTTAGTCAAAACATCTCCGTCTCATGCATTTGAAACTAAGAATCTAACTCCAGTTGATAGATACGACAATTTTTCTTTTAGATACTTTATAGCGTATTCCATTTGTTTGCCAATAGTGGTCTTGTCAAATACTGGTATATAATCTAATGAAAATTTGTGCCTAATTAACGTACAATGACCGTTGCCATTGTTGATTCTTTCATTGCTCAAGTAACTGTCAATTTAAAAGGAAAGAACTACCAAAATCGTGTTTGGAGAAATTAATGAGTTTTGGACGTCGCAAATCGAAATATTGTCAATTATCATAGGAATACCGTGTAAGTAATGGATTACATCATGATTCACAACCGGGAGTACTTCTCATTTCTTTTTCCGATTTCCAACCTAACAGTAGCTTAAAACTCTCAAGATGTAGAATACATATCTAGCACATTAACACATGGCCCAACATGGCTTATCTATCATAATCCTTATTTTTGGTCCTTTAGACTTGATCGAAATCAACTAAACAGCAACGGATCAAATTCCAGCAAAATTGCACCATGTTTTAAGCAAGGACCTTTAGATACGAGTAAACTTCTCCAGGTACGGTCTTGTAAAATAATTAAATCAGTGAAAACTTAAAGAAAAACTATATAAAGGTGAGTTTTGCTATTTTAAGAGAAAGAGTGTATAAACATCTTTAATAAATTCACTAATTCTATTTTATGTTGGCTAGTTTCTTTTATGTGTTGTATCAATAATATGATTATTCGATCATTAGGACTAGAAGTTAAAATTTTGGTCGACAATGATTCCTTAAAAAAACTTCTTTTAAAGAATAGCTAAAATTTGGTCATTTCTCAAGAAAAATAGCTAAGAGACCTAATATTACTACTTGAATCTAAAATTTATATGTTGATTTTCATGATTTTTCGATAGCCATATTAGTGATTTGAAGATTTTTCAAAAAAAATTTAGTGTCCATTTCAGAATGGTGCTCGTTTTTTCAATTATGAGACATGGTTAAGTGATCCTACTCATATTGGACCTAGTATCCAGGTGGTTTGGCCAACAGTGAGTCAAGAAATATTGAATGGTGATGTAAGGGGCATTTTAAGGAATATAAATAATCTCCAATTTTTTTTTTAGATTTGGCAAGCATCTGAATGTTATATCACAAAACTAGTCCAAAATTAGCTTGGGTTCAAGATGTAGAACATATGTTGAATCACCATTTGACAGGCCTCTTAAGACTTGGGTTTCTTTCTTGTTATTTTCTAAATATTGTAGTAGATCCCAAAGAGGTTTCACTTCTCATGAATTTATCCTGAGTCAAGATATTTTGGCTCAACTTTATTTGAGTTTTGTTAAGAGAGCAACACCATTTTTACCTTGAATTGGTCAAAGTACGCAGAATTTTTGACTTTTCATGAAAGATTAGATCTAGTAACTGGAGACTTATGGCTAACCGATATTATACACCATCATTTAGCTATTGTAATTCTTTTTTTGATAGCAGATCACATATATAGGATTAACTGAGGTATTAGTCATGCTATAAAAGATATTCTAGAGACCCTTAAAGGTCCATTTATAGGCCAAGGTCATTAAGGTCTTTATGAGATCCTAACAACATCATGACATGCTTAATTATCTATTAACCTAGCTATGTTAGGGTCTTTGACCATTGTTGCAGCTCACTATATGTATTCCATGTCTCCTTATCCATACTTAGCTACTGACTATGATACATAATTGTCATTGTTCACACATCATATGTGGATTAGTGGATTTCTGATAGTTAGTATTGTTGTGCATGTAGCTATTTTTATGGTAAGAGATTATAATCCAACTATTTGATACAATGATTTATTAGATCATGTCCTTAGACATCACGATACGATTATATCCCATCTTAACTAGGTGTATATATTTTTAGGGTTTCACAGTTTTGGTTTGTACATTCATAATGATACAATTAGTGCTTTAAGGCATCCTCAAGATATATTTTGGATACTACTATACAATTATAACATGTCTTTATTTAATGGATACAAAATACCAACGTTTTAGCACCAGACATAACGGCCCCTAGTGCAACAAGCACCATTTTAACTTAGGATTAGAATTTAGTGGCATTGGGCAGTAAAGTTGCTTTGTTACCTATTCCATTAAGAACTACAGCTTTTTTTAGTACATCATATTCATGCATTTATAATTCATGTAATGGTATTGATACTCCTAAAAGGTGTTCTATTTGCTCGTAGTTCACGATTGATACCGGATAAAGCAAATCTAGGTTTTCATTTCCCTTATAATGAAACTGAAATAGGGGGTACATGCCAAGTATATGCTTGGAATCATGTCTTCTTAGAACTATTTTGGATGTTCAATGCAATTTCGATAGTAATATTCCATTTCAGTTGAAAAATGCAATCATATGTTTGGAGTAGTATAAGCAATCAAGGGATAATAACTTATATCACAGAAGGAAACTTTGTAGAGTTCCATTATTATGAATGGGTGCCTCCACAATTTCTTATGGGCATAGGCATCACAAGTAGTTCAGTCTTATGGTTCTTCATTATTTGCATATGGTTTTTTTTCTTGGGTGCTCACTTTATATGAGTTTTTAGTTTATTGTTTCTATTCATCATAAATTAAAATTTGCTTCTGTTACTTAGCCTATAGCCTTGAGCATTGTATGGGGACCTGTTGTAGGAGTAACCCACTATGTTTTAGGTGAAATTGCCACAACATGGGCATTCTTCTTAGCAAAAAATATTGCAATAGGATAATAGTTAGTAAGATTTGAAAATCATTATGGCATTAAGATTTTCAAGGTTTAGTAAATGATTAGCTCAAGACCTCACTACTCGTTGTATTTGGTTTGGTATTGCTACCCCACATGACTTCGAGAGTCATGATGATATTACTGAGGAATGTCTTTATCAAAATATTTTTGCTTCTCATTTCAAAAAATTAGTAATAATTTTTCTATGGACTTTTGGGAATCTATTTCATGTAGCTTGGTAAGGGAATTTTGAGGCATGGGTACAAGATCCTTTACATGTAACACCTATTGCTCATGCAATTTGGAATCCTCATTTTGGTCAACCAGCTGTAGAAGCTTTTACCCCGAGAGGGTGCTCTAGGCCTATGAATATAGCCAATCTTGGTGTTTATCTGTGGAGGTATATTATTAGTTTACATACTAATGAGAATCTTTATATTGGAGCTCTTTTTAATTACTTGTTCCTATTATACCTTTAATAACAAGTTAGTTACATCTACAACCAAAATGGCAACCAAGTCTTTCGTGTTTTAAAAATGTTGAATCTCATCTCAATCATCATTTGTCAACACTATTTGGAGTCAGTTCCTTGACTTGGATAGGGCATTTAGTCCATGTTGCTATTTTGGGATCCAAGGGAAAATATATTCGATGGAATAATTTTTTAGCTATATTACCACACTCTCCCCTCCCCCCAAGAATTAGGTCCATTTTTTACAGGTTAATGAAATTTTTATGCCCAGAATCTTGATTTAAATAGTCATTTATTTGGTACTCCCAAGAAGCAGGAACTGTTATTCTAACATTTCTTAGAGGATTCCATCCACAAACCCAATGTTTATGGCTAACCAATATTGCACATCATCATTTAGCTATTGCATTTATTTTTCTCATTGCTAGTCATATGTATAGAACAAACTTCAAGATTGGACGCAATATAAAGGATCTTTTAGAAGCACATATTCCTTCGGAGAGTAGATTGAAGCATGGATATAATGATACAATTAATAATTCAATTCGTTTTCAATGAGAACTTGCTATATCTTCTTTCGGTCACTAAAAATAGTCACTAAATGATGGTTTTGTTGTAGTGTTGGTAACTCAACACATGTACTCTTTATTATGCATTGATAGGGCAAGACTTCACTACTCAAACTGCGCTATATATTCATTATCAATACATCATAGGATTTATTATGACAAGGGCGTTTGCTCATAGAACTATATTTTTATTAGAGATTATAATCCAAAATAGAATGAGGATAATATCTTGGCAAGAATGTTAGACTATAAAGAAGTCATCATATCCCACTTAAGTTGGGCTAGTCTCTTTTTGGGGTTCCATATTATGGGACTTTATGTCCATAATGATGTCATGCTTGCTTTTGACTCATGGTAAAACTTCTTATGGGTTTAATGTACTTTTATCTTCAATAAAGAGTATATTCAGTGCAGGGCAAAGCATATGGTCGCTTGGTTGGTGAATAGCGACACGAAGAGTCCTTAGTTCATCATGTTATTGCTCTTGGTTTACATACAACTACATTGATCTTAGTAAAAGGTGCTTTGTATGGTTTCAAGTTAATGCCAAATAAAAAAGAATTTAGTTCTAGTTTTCCTTATGATAGTCCAAGATAAGGTAGTACTTGTGAAATTTTGTACTTGGGATACTTTTTATTTTGCAATTTTTTGGATATTAAATATCATTGGATGAGTTATTTTTTATTGACATTCTTAAAAGATTGAAGTAGGTTAAGTCCGCACATACTTTTTATTAAGCCTAACTAGACTTTTTAAAAGTTTCCTTGATTTATTAAACTTTTAATAGCCTACTTCGTATTAAAATATTTAATAAATCATTAGACTTCTTTATAAATAGGCTATTAAACTATCTAAATAGATATGTTTTTAGGATCATATAACTTATATCTAAATAATATATAAAATAATAATAATTTTACATCTTAAATATATATAATAAAATTTTATATTTCTATTTCATCAAACTATTCACTATTCATAGATGGTCTTCTTTACTAGTGCTTAGCTATTGTTTTAGGCTTTATTTTATAATTTCTTTCCTTAATCGCAATTTGTGTCGTGCAGGGCATCCATTAATCTCATCTAATCCTCTCAAACGCTTGCAAATTCCAAATGGAATCCACCACCCGAAAAATAATTATAAATAAAAAGGCCACTCATGTAGCATAATACAATCAGTTAATTGTATTTTTAAAATCCGCAAAAAACAAATATTAAAACCTAAAAAAGAGAAGAAAAAAAAACTCTCAAATTTACTGTACCATATGAAAAAAGAGAGTTTGCCTAAAAAACCTACTCCAACCAATGAAATACCGCAGACCAAAAAAACTTAACAAAATTAATAATAAACTAGGAATAGTATATAGAAAGTAGATCCTAGCAGTCAGGGTCAGCTTGTTTCTCAGCAGGTTTCACGAAATCCTTCCAATAAGGATGATTTTGCCACACAACTGACATTTCTTCTATGGGAACCCCTTTAGTCTCTGGCAGAAACTTGTAGATGAATGAGCTCATCACAACCACAAAAAATGCAAAGAAGAAAAACAAGCCAAACTTCATGTGGCAGAGCATTGTGGTGAAAATTTGAGCAATGGCAAAAGTAAAAATCATGTTGACAGAGACATTTATACTTTGAGCAGCAGATCTCACTTCAAGTGGAAAAATCTCACTGGGTACCAACCATCCCAATGGACCCCAAGACCATGCAAATCCCGCCACATACACGCATATTCCTATCACGACAATTATAGCATACCACTTGGGCAACACACCTGGGTTTCCATCCTCTCCAAATTTACTTCCTATTGCCGCTGTTATCACAAGCTGCATGCATCCCAAAACAAATTTATATGATTAAAAATACTCAAATTCAATGCACATTAATTTTAAAGAAATTGAAATAAAAAGTCAACGAATGTACCTGGCAAATAAACATTTGAGCTCCACCTTCTAAGAAAAGAGTACGTCTCCCAAACTTATCAACTGTGAAAATGGAAACAAGGGTAGCAGCAGCATTACAAGCTCCAGTAATCATGGCAGACATGAGGGAAGCAGTGCCACCAAAGCCAATAGTTTTAAACAAAACAGGAGCATAAAATGTTATCACATTCATGCCAGTGAGTTGTTGGAAGAAGGGAATGGCTATGGCCATTGTGAGATGAGGCCTGTATTGCCTTTTCAACAAAGAGGCCCAAGGGTGTTTCACAATTTTCGAAGCTTCACTAGCCGCAATCAGATCTTTAAACTCCTCGTCAATGTCTGTAGTACCCCGAATTTTAATCAACTCTTCTTTAGCTTTGTCATCTTGACCACGCTCAATCAAGGAACTTGGCGAGTCTGGGAGAAAGATTGCACCTACAATAATCATTATTGCAGGAACTGCAGCCAAACCCAAGCTATAACGCCAACCTTCCCCATTTTTCATTTGGGCAAAAAGGTAGTTCAGGACATTCGCCACAAAGATGCCTATGGTGATTGCAAGTTGGAACATCATGTTAAGAGCTCCTCTATATTTGTAGGGAGCAACTTCGGACACGTAGATTGGCACAGACTGTAAACAACAAAGAAAGATATGTATCAATTAGTAACACAAAGGATATTGTTAAAGATTCAATCAATAATTTTTTTATTCAAAATTACTATAAAAATATTTTTATATTAAATTATTTTTTTATCTAAACCTTAGGAATCTTCGAAGACATTAAACTCAAACTCTAAATTATAGGTTTCTATGAATACAGTATTTAAATAAAATTCATATAAAAAATTGTTATTACCTGATTAGCGCATCCAATTCCGAAACCAAGTAACATGCGGCCAACTATAAGCATCCACACCTCATGGGCGAATGCATTCAATGCAGCACCAGCGAGAAAAAGAACACCACCAGAAATCATGGTAAGGCGTCGTCCGAAGAGTCGAGTTACGGTTGATGCCCCAAGAGATGCAACAAGAGCAGCCAAATACAAAGAGGAAGTAAACAATGTTAATATTTGGCTGTCGAATTTGCAGTACTGGCTATCGGAGGGCTTTCTGTTGTGCTCCTTTATATAGACATCTGGAAAAAATTTCTTCAAAAATGGATCCATGGACGTAACTCCACCTATACATTCACGCCATTAATAAACAAATTATTCATGTTGTCTCCAAAACAAAACAGTAACTCATCAAGTATAACTTTTGGATGGAAAAACCAAACCTGAAATGCCGAGATCATAACCAAATATTAATCCTCCAAAAGCAGCAACTACGCATGTAACAAAAACTCTGAACGTTAGTTTTCCTGGGTAATTTTTTCCGCCTGAAGGGCCATCTCCTATGAAAGCTCCTGGCATTGTGCTGACTGTTAGCGAACTGAGAAGCGAAAATTTGTTGTGAATTGAGAAACACACTATAGGGCTTGTTATATATAAGCAATAAAGATCACAAGAGGTATATTTTATCACTTAATTGCAATTATCTAGAATTTTAGATAAGGTTTAATATCTGTCAGTTATTCCAAAGCTTTGTTTTTCTAAAAAAAATATCCAAGTTTGTTTAAATGAGTTAGTTTCATTTGAGTATATCTGTTGGATACGTTTAAATTGAAGTTATGAATTTTTATTTTTTATTTTTTTAGATTGATTCATAGGTATAATTGATATGATTAAAATATACGAGATGTCATACAATCTTTGAGCTACTCTTAATATGATAAAGTGTGTTAAATTATCAATTTTATTGTTATGATTTTATTTTAAATTATTAATTAGTAAAATATACATTAAATTACTATCCTCTCAATTGATTTGATAAGTTTGTAATTAGGCTCTATTTTATAGCCCATATATTCATATTTGACTTATATTTTGGAGTTTACACTAATTTATATATTAATTATGCAGTTTGGTGTAAAGATACTGCAAGTAGACTTTAGGTGAGTTTTGGGCACAAAACATGGAAGATTAGAGTTTCGCAGCAATCAACATACCCAGACCCTTTCAACAAGCACAAGGTGCTTCGAGCCCATGCACAGTGAAGTTCAATTATGAAGAGTCTTTAGGGTTTTCAAACCCTATTAAAAGGGGACCTCAAGTCTCGCGCGGGACATTATTTTTACCTTGACTTTTGCTCTGAAATACATCTCATATTATCTTTCTTACACGTGAGATCTTTGGCACACTCTTGGCAGGACTTGGAGCTTCGAGCGATCGTACTTGAAGACCGAGAACACATCTCATACTCTAGTTTGCTATTTCTTTTAATTATAGTTTTGTTTATGATTGTTTTAATTCTTTTCTTTAGCATGAGTAACTAAGTCCATAACTAGGGCTATGGAAACTATTGTTCATGAATTTATGGAGTTTTGACGTTTGAATCTAAAGTTGATTTATGTTTCATGATTAGATTTTATCTTATTACGCTTTTCTCTTAATCCTAATTAATTATATCGTCAGGCGACCATATCTCAGTTAATTAATAGATCTATATGGTAAAATGAGACAAAGGATTAGGTAGACCAAACCACTTTTTCTCTTCTAATTATTATTAAATTAACAAGTTCATAAGTTCCTTAAAGTTTCTTAAATTGATGTCTTGCATAACTATTGGGGATGCTAATTTAGAGAAAAGAATATTAATATTGCATGACTTGAGTATTAATAGAATTCGTGTGAATGATTAGTAATCACAAGGAAATCGAATTTAGAGTTAAACAGAAAAATAACATAAAGGATTAAATGAGAAAACTCATATGCCTTAGGTTCCTCTCCTATAAGTTTAACCAAGACGTGCATTATATTCTTTACTCTTAGTTTTATAGTTAATTTATAAATTCTTGTTTTAATTGATCTCATATCTTTGAAGCTTAAACAATTGAATTAGAAAATTCTTAGTAATTGGAAATCAATTCTTGTGAGACGATATTTCAAGAACTTAATTTAAGAACCCTTTTATTACTTTTCGATGGGTACACTTGCCTTCCAAACAATAAATTCTATAATTTCTCTTTTAAATTGTTGAAAAATTAAACACTACGCTTTAAAAACAATAAATTCCTTACTTTTTATCTAAAATATTTTATAAGCTTAGCATGTGTTAAATTATCTATTTCAGTGTTTAGATTATTATTTGGAAAAATTATTTTATTGCTTAAAGTGGTCGTATTTAGAGTAAGATGACATTTAATAAAATTATCCCTAGTGTAAGACACATGTGGAAAAAATAATAATTCTATTTTAGTATTTAGATTATATGATTTTATTTTTTATTAATAATTAATAAAATAATAAATTATATTTCCTCTCAATTAGCTTTTTGAAATAACTACCATCTGCATTATAGCGCGGTGGCAACAAACTGGTTGTTTGAGATTTCCCCCAACAAGTTGATATCTTATATATTTTTCAAAAGTTAAATAAAAAAAGTTTTTAAATTCTATATTATTATGGCTTTTAGTTCTTTTTTTTACATTCTATAAACATGAATTTGCTGGAGTGAGTGAATGAAATAATAGTCAGTAGATGAGACTTTAACTAAATAAAAAATGTTATGTTTGAATGATTTTTTATAAAACAGGAAAATAAAAAATATTGTAAATGAATTGTAGAGACAAAAATAATTTGTATTAATAAATCAAGTTAATAATTTTTTATGCATTACATATGTATCATTAAATAAAAACCTATTATATGGTCATAAACTTATAAATAAAAAAAATTAATAAGCTTTTCCAATTATTTTTTAAATAAAATAAAGGAGAGAACTATAGGAAAATATTATAAGCTTAATAAATTTACTAAAAAAAAATTTATTTTTTTTATCAAGATCACTAGTATCTTCCATTGGAGACAATAATATTCAACCATGACCATTTTAAGCAATAAAACTCTCCTTCCAAATATATTTTTTTTTATATTAATATGGTGTGTTGTAATTCAAAATTTAAAAATTAAATTAAAATTATCATAAGCTTTAAATTTAGTTTATTTGAAAAAGAAAAATATTTTTAATTTAATATAATGTATCAAGATTTAAAATTTAATTAAAGTTAAAATTAAAATAAATAATTAGTTTTTATAAAATAATAAATATTAACAAAAAATTGAATACTTAGTATAGAAAACCCTAGTGATACAGTGATATGAAAATACCATATTATTTTGTGTAATCATATGATGGGCTGGATAATCGCTTATTTAAGTACTTATTTATTAATTTGTTAAAAATAATTATTTATGTCATAAATTTAATGATAAAATTTATTGAGATAAATTTAAAATAGTCTATTTTAATAATTTATACCAAAAAACTTATTAAAATAAATTATAAATAATTTATAAGAATCAAATTATTTTTATAAGTTGTTTATAAACATTTTTACAAATCCTCTTAGGGTTTATTTAGTGGTCGGGATAAAATTTGATAATTTATTCCATCTTATCTTATTTTTAGTATTTATGGATTAATAAAATATGATAATTTATCCTGCTGAATTATCTTTGGTTATTATCATAGCTAAAAATTTTATCCTGAGGAGAGTTATGAGTTAGAAACATTGTAATAGAATTTTTTTATTATATTCTTATTTATATTTTCAATATTTTATAAAAAATATAATTATTATAAAAAATATAATTCAATATTTGTATTAAAAAACATATGAACATTTTTAATTATTAAAAATATAATAAATAATTTTAAGTTAAATTAATAAATTGATCTTTAACTTTTTGGTTTTATTTTAATTTGCACCTATACTTTTTTTTTTCATTTCATTTTCTCAGTTTACAAAAGTATTTTACATAAGTTTTTTCTTATAAAAAAAAATATTAACTTCATTACAAATTATTTATCTTCTTCTCCTATCGAGGAAAAAACATATTATACTTTGTCAAATTTTTTTATTTTCTTTTGTTGATTTTCTTCCTCCTCTTACCTCTTATTCATATATTATTTTTCTTGTTTCCCTCTTCAAGCTCCAACAAAAGTATTTTCTTGATCTTCCTCCTTTTATCCCTCATCCGTACTTATTTTTCTTTTGAATTTTAAAAATTTTATATTTTTATGGTGAGTTTTTCAATTAGACCTTGAGATCACAGGAGAACACTCATTTATAAATGAAATTAATGAAATTATCTATACATAATCTTTTCAAACAAAAGTTATTGCTATTGATACGATGATCCTTATAGTGTTGAGTACTGAACACTCATTCTAAATAGAAAAAATGACTAAAATAAGCAAGTCCACTTTGTCTTACTTATAAAAGTAGAAATAAGTCTTTAGAGTTTTAAGAGAGGTCATTAGAATGAAAAAGCAATCATCTTTATGAGAGAAGAAGAGAGAAAACCATTATCTTACAAACTTAAAATAATCTTTATAAATTTGTAATGAGTCACTAACTCATCTAGGAAATTAAAGATTTTTGGGATATTTCATTGGATTAAAATCATAAGATAATGTAATTAATTGAAAAATTCAATGAAATGTTGCAAGTACTGAAAAATTTATATAGATCATTCATATTCTGATGTTGGCAATTGAATTTTTAAAGGAAATTAAACAAAAAGTGGTAATTGGACTAAAGAACAAAAGTTAAATGCTGCAGGATACACTTTGTGGGGACATGAACTTTCGTTTGTGGGACACGATGCTAACAGAGCCTATAAAAGCAAAAAATTCTAAAAAGATGGCATCTTTTATCTTTTTGTCTTTTACGATTCCAGAGCATAGAAACCTAGGTTTTCATACAATGTACATAGAATATGGTAGTTATGGTATTTTCTTTACATCTTTGCTAGAAGATCTTCATGAGAACTTGGATTTCATCTCATTTTCTCTGGTTTATGTAATAGAGTAATAACTTTTCATTTCGTCTATTTCCTACAAACGTTTTTGTGAACATGAAATCTATTTCTGCAATATAATTCAATTTTATATTACTTACTTTCCTCATGTCTAGCTAAATATTTTGGGGTTGAGTGAGGAAGAACTTATACCTTTACCCTTTGCAATGAATTAACATTGGACATAGCTCAAGATACAAACTTTATTCTAACATTTTGATTCTGAACTTAATGTCTCACTGTTCTACATGAATGGGGTTGATAAAAAGGAGTTCATTGCTGAAAAGTTGTGAACTTTTTCGGACTGGAACCAAAATACTTATTATAAATTGTCTAGGAATAGAAGTTTATAATGGTGTGGTCTGTTGGATTTTAAATCTTAATGCTGAATGTTTTTAGTTGTATCTAAGGAATTAGGACACTAATTTTATTTTAGAACCAATTACGAAGGAATTGGGATTGGATATTTTAGAAAATCTGACCATTAGATGAAGTTATACTTTGAGTTATGCATATACTTGTAAGCAAAGGAAAAGGGATAAGGGATTCCGAACTCAACCTATTTTTAATTGTGTTTAGACCCATCTCCAGTAATTTAGACATTTACATTCTACAATTATTTTAATTATTACTCCATTTTTAGTCTTGTAGTTTTTGTTCATTTATAAATATTAATCCCAACACTTTAATTTTGTTTTTACAATTCTGCACTTGTTTAATTTTTGTTCTGTTCAACACTGTTTTTGGTGACCCAACTAGTGAAATTCTTGTGGGTTGGTACTTAGCATTAATCCCTGAGAACGATAATCTATTTTTATTACTTCAACGATTTGGTGCACTTGCCAAAAAGTTTATCAATTTGTGTTTATGAAGTTGTTTATAGTTGGATTAAACTAAATATTTGAATGTAGTTTAACAACTTGTGGTTCTTTATTTTGAACAGTTAAATCATTGAAATAAGATTTGTAATACGGCTAATAATATTTGTTCACTTATTTTCTGAACCTCTTGTACTCTTTTTTTTTTTTTATCATAGTGAAATTATTTCTTTAGTTCAGAGGACTCATGATTTTTTATTTCTCAGGTTGAAGAAAATTTTCAAGTTAAACAACTTGATGTTTACTTTCTATTTTATTGTTTTTAGTTATTACAATATTTGTTATCACTCTTTGTAAATTTTTACAAGTTTGAGAATTTAATTTTATTGTGTTTATTCATAATTGCATTTATGTTGGTATCTCCTATAACATTAGTCATGGCCAACAAGAATTAATTAATAGTGATATAGATAAACAAACAAAACAATAATTGATATAATTCTCAAGTAATATGTATAAAATATAATATTTGTTTATGTAGCTTTTGGTTCTCCTCTTCTCTTGTGATTCCAAGATCCAATTAAAAATCTCACTAAAAAAGGAAAAAAAATTGAAGTGCAAAGGAGAAGGGGAATAGATGAGTGGTAAGAAGATTAAGAGAAAAAATAATATTTTTGTTGAAATTCAAAAAGGAAGAAAACAATTTATGAATGTGTGAATGAGGAATAAGAGAAAGAAGAGAATGAAAAATAAAAAAAGAAGAAAATTGAAAAATTTACCAAATTATACTGTATTTTTATTAGAGTTTATGTGGAAGGAAAAATAACAATTTTTTAACAAAATTAATGTCTTTAACGAAAAATTACATATTTAAAATGTATTGATATGTTAAAAAACTAAAAATGAGAAAAAGGTAGAAAAACAAATTGAAATAAAAGCAAGAGTTAAAAAAATTAATTTTTTAAATTAATATTTTTAAAAGAAAGGTATATTTAAAAAAAATCATTTGTAAAAAAATATTTTAATCGTTTTATAAAATAAATTTTTAATTTATTTTTATAATTATAATTTCTTACGTAAAATTTTAATTGTAAAAAATTGAATAAAATTATCATAATTTAATATCAAATTTAATATTACATGTAAATAAAAATTATATTAATTTTAATAAAATAATAATTTTGTTATTTAAATATAATTTTAATTTTATTTTATTATTTTTCATCTTAAATATTAAAAAATAATATAATATTATTTAATTTACTATTTTAATATACATAAACATAAGACAAAATAATTACTTAATTTTATTTTATCATATCCTATCTTTTTCTCTCTCTCTTTCTTATCATTTCTTATAACGTTATATTCAACAAAACCTGAATCTGTATTTGTAGTGAGAATTATTACACTTTAAAAGGGGCAGCATGAAAAGGGACCAATTTGTTACCTAAATACTCTACTGTTTGGAGCATTAAAGATTTTTGAGATGATGGTATACGCCTTCACATATTTGTTTTCTTGTTCGCTTTCTTGAAGCAATAAAATGTTATAGAAGGGCACCAAATTTTAATGACAGGAGCTAGCAAAGCTAGGCTTCTTTAAGAGACTACATTTTACTAGGATTTAAAGAGGACGAAATGTGACGAGATGCAAGGATCCAACCTGGTCGAGGCATTGCTCTTTCTTGCAATATATTACACCAAGGATACAAAAAATTTGAAGCACACGTTTACACTATAAGCATTTTCTGGATGGATTATGTGAGTCTAAATATTAAACTTAACTTTCAATTTAAAACAACTTTGTCTTACTTAACACATCATTGAATGATAGATAAACCGCAAAAAAGTTTACACACAATCTAGTTTTCTTTCCATCGACATTGAGCACTTTCCTCCCTGATTTGTCTTGATGAAACACTGCTGTTCTATGCTGCATTTATTAGTTTTGGTATAAACATATCAAAATTTATACAAACAAGAATATGATAAACAGTTTTACATTCTTGTACTTCAACGGTGCAAAACGCGTAACATCTCCAAAAATTTCAATTTTTTTGTAGTTATATTGTTTTGAAAAATTGCATTTCTTCTAATTATATAGTGATCACAGAAAATATGAATTTATGATTTCTCATTAAGATCAATTATTCTTATTATAATAAATATACTTTTTATTATATTTTCGTATTAGTATGATATTGTCTACTTTAAGCTTAAATCTTTATGATTTTGTTGTCATCTACTAAAAGACCTCGTACTAATGGACATATACTATACTTATATGCATCTCCTTCTAGAAGATTTTGATATCACTTATTATAATAAATATAAATTTTTTATTATATCTATTGTTTACTTTCAACTTAAGTTCTCATGATTTTATTTTTTGACATTCACCAAATGATTTTATACTAATGTAGATCTACTATATTTGTATGCTCTTAATCCTTTTCGATTCTAGCTAATATGAGATTTTGTTTGCACATCTAACAATTATCAACTAATTGATATAATTTAAATAAAAATTATAAATGTAAATTTTTTATTTTTACATTTTTAATTACAAATAAGAATATTAACATAACAATAATTATTTTAAGATAAAATCTCAATAAATTTCACAGAGAATCAAAGTTTCAAAATAACAATGAAGCACTTGCTGTATAAGTTTGGTTTTATATAATTATTTCTTAATAGATATAAAATGCCTTCATGAAAAATCATGCTTAATTGTCTTTTATGTTAACGTAATTAAAAAGAATAGTCAAACTTATTATGCATTGATACAATTTGAAATGAACAAGGAAAGTAAGAAAATAAAATAAATTCACTGTTTAAACATTAAATATACAGGACACCTTTAAATTTCAAAGTTAATAATGCAGACGAAAATACAGATAATACAATCTTCTGTAATATTTTAAAATCAAAACAAGAATAAATGCGCAAATTAATATTCAAAAAATATTTGATCTAATTTATTTTTCAGTAAATTATCAAATATTTTTCTGAAATTATAAGCATGAGATAATTTAATTTTTCATTTTTTTGAGTTAATATTTTCAGAGAACACTTTGAGTTATTAATGATTTTGTTACGAATAAAATTGATCTTTATTTTTTTATTAGATGAACCATGGAGTACAAATAAAAAAATTATTGATAAAACGTATCATGTTTATAGCCCTGAGAAATTATCTAATTTTTTAAAAGAAAAATTAAATTAATTCAAGTTTTTTAAAATTTTAAAATTGTAATTAATATATATGTGGAACGTATAGAAAATGTGAAGGGGAAAGGGCGGCTAGAAGAATCAGAGTGAAGAGAATGACGATGGCGTGGAGATGGATCGTGCGAAGAACCCGCGAATCGAAACCCTTTTTCCTTGCATTCGCCACCATATGTGGCGTCGTTCCGGGAGTGATAGGCTTCGGCGTCATGCAATTCACCAACACCCGCAGCGAGAAGCTCGAGTCCCATCTTCGCACAAGTGCCCGCCCCGAATCATTGGCAAGTTTTCATTTCTAACTTTTTTTATTATTAATTTCTTTATGCATCAAGCTTCAAACTATTAAGATTATTAGGATTAGTGAGCCACTCTGTTCTGCTATATTGCATTGATTTACTTTGTTATTAGAGGAAGGTTCTTAACATATATGAATGAGACATGATTAATTACGAGCCTTTGAACGCTCTTGGGAATTGTTTGATCTAATCCACTTTCTGTTTCCTGATTTTCACTTGAGGACAAAGTGGCTCTGTTAGGATATAGTATTGATTGACCTCCAATTTTAAGTCGTGGTTGCAGTTATGTCGCTAACCTTAATATTGCAGAAAATTGTGGTTGCTAAGGCTGCTAGTACGGTTGTGATGCAGTTGTTAGACTATGGGAGCCTTGATGTTGTGGCCATAATTGCAGTTGCAGACTGCAATCTAAGACGACATTAGACGTGTGTGTAAAGGGATGAGAGAAGCAGCAGGGGGAAATTACCTGAGAGGGTTATGGCAAATGAACTATAGGTTTGTTGGAATGTAGAGGGGCAACAGATAGAATTTACCTAAGGGGGTTATTGCGAAGAAAAGACGCTTAGTGGAAATCAAGGGGATAAATAGGGGAGAAGAGGAGGGGCAGAGGCATGAACAATCGTTTGGATTGTGGGATGTTAGAGGGCTCAGATATCTTTGTAGGAGGACACTAATCCGTTTTATGTTTTCCTTTTTTTCTCTTTTCCCAAGCAAAGTGGGGTACTATGAAGCCTAGATACTTAGTACAATATGGTAGGTACAGGGTTATGAGAAACTCTTGAAAATTCAAAATATGATGCAACATAGATACATTAACATATATTAAAATAAAGTCATTTAGATGAACACAATCTTTATAAAGACATTGATAATTTCTCATTTACTCATAATTATATCAGTGGATGATGATCACAATTTTCTAGAACAATACTTGTGATCATAACAAAGACATTGTTACATATCTTTCCATTTCCCATATCAAAATATGTCTTTTTTTCCCTATGAACATGTTTCAAAATTTACATGTTTTTGCCCAACCTATGTCATAAAGTCACAGAAAGCATCTTTTTGTCCTACCTAAAACAAGTCTTGGCTCTATGTAGTCGCCTACTATTTACTATAGCTTTAAGGATATAAAGGAAAACATGTAACCATATGTAATTTTAATCCTTTTCAAAATGTTGTAGCTGTATCCCAAACATATCAGTCAATAAAATTTAAAAATGAAGGACACTCCTTGTATATGTATCTAAAAGTATTGTATGTGCATCAGTATCGGATACAAATACATTGATACTTTTCCATTTTGGGAATATTTGGGATTCGTACATGGGCTACCACAATTTCTGTTCTTGGTGTCTAGTGCTGTCAGGTGGTGTATACCTTTATTCTGCCTGTTTTTCTTAATATGAAGCTGTAACCCACTCATAACCATAAGGGTAAATCCTTGCACAACTTCACGTGCTGTTTGGATTGAAAACAAATCTTCAGATAACATGGCATGTCAAAGTCTAATTATACTTAATTGACTTCATTTTGACTATTCTTCTCCTCAATAATAAGTTGAATGGAATGTGTTATGATGGTATTTTTATGCATGATTTCTTTGCAAAACAGCATGTTGCCCTCAATCACTCTAAGCATGACAACATCAGATATGTTGGTATCAAGCCCTAAACAGTGCAGAATCATGGGGTGAATGGTTAATGTAACATTGATGTACATCATTTGGGGTCCAACTTTCCATCCAATTATCTGTTTAGGGTTTTCTATAAATGAGACATGTTTATAAATATAATTTTTTTTTTCCAAAAACAAAGTCTTATGTTTTCTTTCTATGACTGACTACTACTTTCAGTGTTTTTATTGTCTTCATATCCTATATTTCATAATGATATTTTGGCATGATCATTTTAAACCTACATCTGTAACCAACAAGATGGATCTTGGATTGGAATAGAAGAAGAGCAGTTTATATTAGAGAGTAAATAACTTGTTATGTTTAGGGTTTGTCAATGTTAAGTTTGCACTTGTTTCTTTGAGGTGATTTCCTTCCTTTGGTGAAAATCCTAACAATCTGGTTGCTTTAATTGGGTAACAGAAGATGGGGCAAGTCAATAAGGAGAGACTGGCAGAATACCTTGGAGAGCTACAGCGGAAGGAGGATACCAATGACCGCTATGTTGCTGCTTTAAGAGGAGAGACTTTAACCAGAAAACCTTATGTGAGAATCCAACCAATTTCTGAGATAACCGATGCCAGGGCTGACAAGGAGCAGAAGAAATGAATAAGTTGTGAATATACGTTTTTTAAGTTCATTATGAACTTGATGCTGTTTTGTCTGTATTTAATCCTGTTTTACCCCCGGATGCGTTTATTTAAGCAATGAACTCCTCTTTTTTAAGCGAGGTTGGTTAGGTGGGAATTTAGTGTCCATGGTTCAGTACAAGACTGCATTAGCTATACTTCAATGTTATTGATTTAACCAAATTCTTCGTAAAGGAGATCCAGTATTCTCTTTGGAATATAAATTTTTTCTTGCTTGATGGTTTTGACCTAAACTGTTGGTATTTGTGAGAATCAAACCCTTTTGTCTCGTATAATATGGAATTATGAGAGTATAACTGTTGCATTTGCATCAACCTGAAATAAAACAGACCATTCACGTTGCACCTTCTACATATAATATAATTCCAGCAACCCTATAGGTGGATTGATTACATTTTCCCCTCTATTGTATTGTTGTTGTAGCCTCTGCAGTTGCCCTTTTTGACTGACAATTTATCAACTTGGACATGAGTGATATTTTGGTATGTGGGAGTTGATGGGGTAGGGGTGTAAGAGCAAAAGCACATAAATCCTTAGGCAATATGCTACTTTAATTGTAGACAAATAGGTAATGGCACGTGTAAAATATTGCATGTCAGCTTGCAATTTACCTGGGAAATAACCTGACTTGGCTGATAATATGCTCAGGGCACACAAGCCATGTGGATGTTCTTGACTTACCATCTCTACCTTCTACTGCATCAAAATTTCGTTTTGTTTATAATGAAATATAAGGATGGAGAAACATCATTAGTCTATTTGGTAGACCTTACCATGTCTTCACATCTAAAAGCCACGTCCTTATCATCGTTTAGGCAAATTTCAGCCAATAAAGCACGTGATGTTCTAGGACTAGGATCTTCTCCCGTAACTATGCCTTATAGTTAATGTATTTTTATTTTTTTTTAAGTTTGCTTAAGCAAAAGTTTTTACTTAAGCGGAAAAAGAAAACATTAATTACAAGGTGCAGTTCATGCCTAAAAATGAGAGGATCATAGTTCGATGTTTTATCCCTTAAGTTATATTGTAAATTTCAGGTTTGATTTTTCATTTGCATATGCAATGGACAAATGTTTGCTCAACAAAATTTTGTCTTATCCCAACCCCTTTTTAAAAAAAGATTGAATCTTATTTTTGGTTGATTAATGAATACAACTAATATTTTTTAGAAAAGATCTTCTTATTCTAGTATAAGTTTAAAAACTCTTATACTCAATCTGAGTTTTTCATTTAAATTAAATCTAACAGTCAGTGAAGTAATAAATTATAACATGTTATATTTAAGTTAAATAAAAGGCTCATATTGGATGTAAGAGTTTTTAGACTGACACCCGTGTAAGAAAATCTTGCCTCAATATTTTTTATTATTTTGAAAATATTAATAATATGAATAGTTAAGTTAATATATTATTTTTATTATTCTTGATTTTCCTAAAAGATTAGCAAGTTTTACATATATTTTTTTATATCTCTTTACCAAAATTGTAAGCTTTTTTTATTTTTAACAATTCTGCTATACAGTACAATGTTATTTGTGTAGATTTCACATATAACATGGATTTTCTTCTTCGACATATATAATAGAAAGGTTGTAGGACGTATATTATATACATGATAAAATATCGATTGCTATACATAATAGCGCAAGGAAAGTAAGAAAACTTGTGAAAAGAATATTTAATTAATATGATCGCGTGAATTAACATATCATAATCAATTAATTATTTTAACTGAGAGAATTTTTTATAATTATGGTTTATCCTTGTAATTACACTAACACCTCCTTTCAAACTTAAGGTGGCATGATAAATATCAATTTGAGTCTGCTTAAGAGAACTTGAAAACAAGTAGGTGGACGAACTTTGATTAAAAAAAAAGAAGAAACATCATTTGTTTGGTCGTAGAGATGACAAAAATTAATTGAATTGTCATTAATAACATATCTTTCAAAGTGACAATTAATTTCAATGTATTTTGTTCACTCATTAAAAATGTCATAGTAAAGCATAGTAGACAAAATGTGAGACACTCATATTAATCAATAACCATCATAACCAAAGTAATTCAACAATAGCATATGCAAGAACATGATATTCAGATTTTATGCTAGAACAAGAAGTTATAATTTGTTTTTTGCTATGCCGAGAAATAAGAGAATTGTTCAAAAAGAAACAATAACTTGTTGTAGATCTATGATCCATTGGATCACCACTCAATCAAAATCAAAGTATCCAGATAAGACCAAAAAAAAGGGAAAACCATGAAAAAATATTCCTTTAAAAAAATCATAGAATTCTAAGGACAACAAAAAATGTGATGAGTGTGGAATAGTCATAAATTGACTAAGAATATGAACATATGCAACATGAGAATGAGTGACAGTGAGGTAAACAAGACTACCAACAAGTTTTCGATACAAAGAAAGATTATCAAAAGGGTGTCATCAAGTTATATAAGGTCGAAATTGAGTTCCAAGGAGGTGGATTCAATTTTGTTATTCATGATACCAACTTGAGAAAGTAATTTGGATGTATACTTGACTTAGGGGAGATAATAACCGTTACAATTTTGGGAAAATTCAAGACCTAAGAAATAACTTAGAAAACTAAGATTTTTCATGTCAAAATGTTGACTATGAGAGCATTGTGATGTTGAATTTCTAGACTCATTATCACCAGTTATGATCATATCATCAATATAAAGCACTAGAAGTACAATTACATTCTTAGTTTGATAAGTAAATGAAAAATTATGTAGACTAGAAACAAAGCCAAATTTTGTAAGAGCAGAACTAAATTTGGCACACTAAGCCTGAGGAGCTTGCTTTAACACATAAAAGGTCCGTCGAAGCTTACTAACCTTATAAGGAGAATGAAAACCAAGGTGAGAATGCATATAGACTTCTTTTGTCAAATCACCATACACAAAGGTGATAAGTGTCAAGTTTTAGTTAATTATTGCATGAATTTGAGCACTTATTTACTTTAATGAATTGAATTTAAATTTAAATTTTCTTTTAATTTAAAAGAATTTGATTTAAGTACTTTATTTACCTTAAAGATTGAAATGATGATTTTCCTTAATCCCCTTTTGTTACATTTCTTGATTTACTGGAGTTCAATGAAGATGGAAGGCAAAGGCGAACTAAAAACTCATTTTGATCCTTTTTTGCTCAACCAATCAATTGCTTAAGTGAGAAAGTGTGAAGCAGACCCAAGTCTCTGCCTAATTTTCGCTTGAGCAAGAATTCTTTTTTATCTTAAGCAAGACTTTTAACTTGAAAGAGAATTCATTTACTTTACTTTTAAAGAAAGAAGAATCAGGGGAAAAAAAAAAGAGAGAAATCCAAAGAGCGGGAAAAGAAACACACAAAGAGGAATGTTAGGGCACACCTTGGAGAGATTGCGGGGCCTTTCTTTATCCATTTTCTCTTATTTTCTTTTATTGTAATGGACACCATGAGCAGCTAACCCTTTTGAGATTAGATGTAATCTTCTACTCTAAAATATTTTAATAATTTATATATGGTTATTCATTTCCTTAGATGTTGGTTTTTTATTTTATTCTTAATGTTTCATTCTTTTTTAAATAAAAATATTTTGATTTATGATCCAAAGTTTATCTGGAAAGCCAACCTTAAAATTAGATTGAATAAAACTCACTCAGTGCATTGTGATGCTAGGGATAGATTTCAATATATTGATTGTTTATTGACTCTTGCTTTTAATGATGGAGAATTCATTAAATATATGAAGAATCATTATTCATTGAATACTCCAAGAAATTTTATATTTAAGGAATTGATATAAGAAAACATTAGGAGAATGCTTCTATATCTATAAAACGATTTCTAAATATTTATTCATCAAAATATGGAAGAGGAAGAATGATGAAATCCAATCTTAGCTCAAATCCTCATATTTTTATATCTTAGTCATGAACAATTTGTGCAACATCAATATTTTTGTTCAATTTTTTAATTAGAATAATAAAAATTATGAATATATCTACCAATCCCTGTGAATACAAAAACCTTACTCACCTGCTAAAATGAAAACTTGGCATACTTGTCAAAATATCAAAAGAAGGCATTTTTTACATCCATTTAATAATGACACCATTTATAAATTGCAACAATGGCTAAAAGATTACGAACAAATGTTACTCTAGCCATTGGTGCAAAGGTTTCTTTCTAGTCTAACACATACTCTTGAGTATACCATTTACGCACTAAGCTAGTTTTGTAACGCTCAACAATTTCATAGGCAAGAGTCTTGATTTTGACCTGCTTACAACTAATAAAGGTCTTTATGAGGAAGATCAAGTTTTAGGTATGCATTTTCTCCAAAGCTTGAATTTCTTCATATATAATTTATCATCAAAAGAGGTCATACTAGCATCATGTTAAGAAGTGAGTTCATAGAGAGTTGCAATAGTAGAGTAATAATGGTAATCAATAAAGCAATGTGGAGTAGAGGTAGGAGTAGAATTGTAAAATATTCAGCAGGAGTAGTTGAGAGAGAATTGATTTGGAACTCTTCAAAGTTACCTATATCAAAACTTGAAAATAACTTAATAAATGAATTGGTAAAAAATAGAGACTCGAGACTCATTGTTGAGAGTGTTAAAAGTTAGAGTGAAGAGAATAATGTATTTTTCATTAACGCATTATAATTAGTTAATTTGTTAGAGTCAATTTTTAGTTTGTTATAGCCAGTTTCTTTTTTGTTTTGCTTTTAGCAGGATTGTGTTTGCACATCCCTTTGGCCCTTTGACTATATAAATAAGCATCTTGTATCTTTCTTAATGTAAAATGAAAATGTAGAAGTTCCATTTCTAATATGGTATGAGAGCTCCATCGTGAAGCTCTTGTTGTTGTCACAAAACTACTGAGAGAACACTAACTAGCAAGTGTACTAAGTAGTTGTAACAAGTAATAAAATATTTAGAATCAAAGTTTGAGTCCCAAGTATTGTTCTTAGGGATTAGTTTTCTCAATTATCACTTTACAAATCAACATTTAGCTGAGTCATACAATTTATTAGAAAGTTTATATTATGTAAAAATCAGAAATAACAAATATAGAAAGATGTAAAGTTGAAGTAAAACAAAACTACGAATTTTGTATTGAAATGATATATGGAATAGAGTTAGGAATC